CACACACACACACACACACACACACTCACAAAATAATACATACACATAAATTCACGCACACATACACACACTTACATGCACACACACATATATGCACACACACACACACACACACACACACACACACACACACACACAATAATACAAACACACACACACACATACACACATGCATAAAACATCAACAAAAACGACTGTGATCAGTGTTGCTCTGGCTCCAAATGTTGACATGAAAAAAAAAATTATCCCCCCCCCTCCCCTCCCCTCTCGCGCTAAAAAAGAATAAATTGTTCTCTGTGTTCTCCAGGTGATGAGGAATGTGCCCAACATCTTGATCGTTAGTCTGTCCGTGGGAGACTTTTTGCTCATCCTCATCTCGGTGCCCGTGGCCTCTACGCTCTACACCTTCATCAACTGGCCCTACGGATGGGTTGTCTGCAAGGTGAGTACAGTTCTTCATGCCCTGAAGTCACCCCAAACTTACTCATTACAACATACACATTTTCAGAACTGTGCACATTTGTACACTAGTGACAGTAACAATGACAACGAAAATGACAGTAACAAACTTTTTTTTTCATCCGGTAAGGAGAAATTTGTCTTGGTCGTAAGATTCATGGGTCCATGAAAAACATCCAAGAACACTTATAAAGATACAATACATTTGAATGCCCATACCTCATCCATTCACACTCTCTCACACACAGACATACATACATACATACATACATGCATCAGCACACACACTCTCTCTCTCTCTCTCTCTCTCTCTCTCTCTCTCTCTCGGGGATTTTCAATGTTCCCATAAACACCAATGTATTCTTTCGTTTTAGACAGTTCAGATTACAAAGCAGGAAAAAGCTTGTTTTCTCAATTCTTGTTAGGGCGTGAACCAGGTCAATGTCCCTTTTCTTACTCGTGGTGAAAACGAAAAAAAGCTACAAACCTACCCCAAACGATCTTATCTTTGGGGGGAAAAGCGTAAATATTATGGTTCGGACTGAACAGAAATACGAACATGTACTGATCAGCCCCAGCAGGACTCCTATTACTCATAGAAGCCAAGGCACGCAATCTGCCAGAGACAGGTAGGATAGGCCTTTCGAATACTCGGAAGAACATTACTGATCTATTCCAGATTCCACCCCATGTTTGTTTTTTCGCTACCGTCATCACATTGGACGAGTTAATACACAGCGGGTCGGTGACGTCATTAACGTTAAGATAAAGTAAACAATCAAGCGCTGCTCAAGAAAACTCTATCACGCCTATCATCATTAACTATAGATCAGTGTGTGCTGCTTGCTTCTTTCGTTACGATATTGATGCTGAGAGGTTGTAGACCGAACTGTGTGTGAACTCTCGATTAATAATGTTTTTATGGAATATCTCAGGACAAAAGAGAGTCTATTAGACAAAAGATTATTTGAGAACTAACACGCATGCACACAGACACATATACACAGACACATACATACACACACACACACACACACACACA